GCATCATGGTGGGGCAGCAGGATGCAGAAGGTGAGGCCAGCGGCTGTAGTTCAGGAGCTCCAGATCCAGAGACATCCACATACCAGACAGAAAGCAACACAAATGAAACAGAAAGACAAAAAGTAGACAGAAAACGAGTAAAGTTAATCAGAAAACAACACAAATGGGAAACAAAACGACTAAAACTTGACATAAAACAACGCAGGTGTCACAAGTTGTTGAAGATACACTCAGCATGGTGAAACATCTGGTAATCAGAACGGAGAGGAAACGTCTGGAGAGGCTGCAACATGGAGATATTCATATTTAAAGTCACTCACAAGTGACATTATGATGTTCAAACTACATGAACAAGTTGTCCAAACCGGCTCAGTTTGTCAGAAATGACAAACAAAATGTACAAAGTCACTGAAAGTCAGTCCAGAATGACTGAGACAGTGAGATGACTTCAGATGTGTGTCCAAAAATCACCCAAAATGACTCAAAGTTTGTCCAAAACGATGACAAGCTGACTTCATGTTGCAGTGAAAGATGAAATCAGTCCAGCATCAGAAGCAAAACTGACCTTTTATCCTCTAACGAAGGTCATTCAAGGTGAAAGCTGCTTTATCTTGTAGTTCTGATGGTGAATTCTTTCATCGTGGTGAGTTTATTGTTGGACGTGAACATCACAGTGAAATATTTCTTGTGTCTGTCAGGACCAGACGGCTCAGGACCCGTCGGCCATCGACATGTTCATCACAGGTCAGTTCACACGTCCAGCCCTCAAACAGCATTTCACAAGTTCCGGCTGAGACGTGAGTTTGATTCTGTGTGGAATTAAAAAGTCAGAACCTTGGACTCAGAGTTTTGTGTGTCTGTTCAGGCTCCTGCTTCTTGGAGTGGTTCACGACTTACGTCCACAACGTCGTCACTGGAGAATATCCAATCATCAGAGACCAGATCTTCAGGTGACTCACACGGTTCTATCCAGAACCCGCTCCGCTGTGCTCGTGTCTGTTGCTTCTAGTTGTACGGCTCTTTGGGTCAGCTGCTGTTAAAACAGTGGTTTAAATGAAGCAAACCGAACACAGACGGTCTCAGAGTTCTCACACAGAGACGCAGAACAACAACAAATAACATGAACACAACAAGAAAGAAAGAAAGTCAAAATGACGCCAAAGCGGCAGCAGAGCTCCTGAAGAGCTCTTTGTGATTGTAACGCTGTGACTTCCTGTCCGTCCACCTGTTCCTCCGTCTGCAGGTACGTACACGACAAAGGCTGCGTGGCGACCACCGGAGACATCACCGTCTCTGTCTCTACCTCCTTCCTGCCAGAGCTTTCGTCCGTCCACCCGCCGCACTTCTTCTTCACCTACCGGATCAGGTACCGGTCCGTCTGAACAGCGCTCACACCTCACGGCGCTGCGCTCTGCTAACCGGCCAGGTGTGTCTTTGCAGAATAGAGATGTCGAGCAGCGCCTCGCCTGAAGCCGCCTGCCAGCTGGACAGCCGCTACTGGAAGATCACCACCTCGGACGGCAACGTGGAGGAGGTCCAGGGGCCCGGCGTGGTCGGTACGTGGCACAAAACCACGGCGAAGTGACACAAAACAACCACAGCAGGATGCAAATGTGTGTTTGTGTGTCTGTACAGGTGAGTTTCCGGTCATGACACCTGGAAAGGTGCACGAATACGCCAGCTGCACCACCTTCTCCACCCCGTCGGAGTACATGGAGGGCCACTACACCTTCCACAGACTGGGTAATGACACTGGCACAGCAACACAAAGACACGACGGGGCAACAAAGAGACGCGACAGGGCTACAAAGAGACAAAACAGGGCTACAA